GAAGAGAAGAGAAGAGAAGAGAAGAGAAGAGAAGAGAAGAGAAGAGAAGAGAAGAGGAAGAGGGGAAGGGAAGCCAAGGGAAAGAAGGGAAGGGAAGGGAAAGGAAGGGGAGGGGAAGGAAAGAGAAGGAGGAGGAGAGGAAGGGGAAGAAAGGAAAGGAACAAGGAAATCCTTGTCAGAAACTATGCTTGGCCTGGCTGAAGGCAGAAAAGAGACGGTCTGCCGGCCTACCAGGATCGGGGGCAGCCTCCACAGGTCCAGCTTCTTGGTGGCCAGGCAGTGGGTCCTGCACTTGGAACAATAGTACATTTCATCTTCACCCAGCTCCTCCTCACTGGTGAAGGCCCTCAAGCAGCTATCCAGGTTGATGGGCTCGGCCTGAGCACGCTGGCTCTGCTCCACGCTTCTGTGCTCCTCCGCTATCTGGAGACAGGAAGGGAACCGAAGGGTGAGGGAGAGTTTTCTGGAGGGGCTTCCTCTGTGGGATAAAGCAACCCTCCCCCACTCCCCTTTCTTCTCATTCATGCTCAGAATCCCTCAGTCCCTCTCAAGGAAGAAATTCTCCAGCACTAATGCATTGAGTCCTTTGCGTAAAAGTAAAGGCTCCCCTCACACATACACGCTACGCATTTCTGGCTCTAGGGGGCGGTGTGCTCATCTCCATTACAAAGCCGAAGAAGAGCCAGCGTTGTCCAATGACGTCTCCGTGGTCACGTGGCCGACATGACTAAACGCTGAAGGCACACAGAACGCTGTTCCCTTCCCACCAAAGGGGTCCCTATTTTTTCTACTTGCATTTTTTTTACGTGCTTTCGAACTGCTAGGTCGGCAGAAGCTGGGGCAAGTCATGAGAGCTCACTCCGTTACGCGGCGCGAGGGATTAGAACCACCGAACGGCCGACGTTTCTGATCGACAAGCTCAGCGTGTTAGCCACCGAGCCTCCATGTCCTTTTGTGAGGAAAACCTTATTTTGGAGGTCCCTAACTTTGGCCACTTGACAACTCGTGGACTTCAATTCCATGCTGGCTGAGGAATCCTGGGAGTTGAAGTCCACAAGTCATGAAGTTGCCCAGGTTGGAGAGAGAACCTCTCAGGGTATACAGGTAACCCTTGACTTACAACCGCAATGGAGCCCAGCATTTCTGTTGCTAAGTGAGACGTTTGGGAAGTGAATTTGGCCCCCTCTTACAACCTTTTCTTGCCACAGTTGTTAAGGGAATCGCTGCAATTGTGAAGCTCGTAACGCGGTTGTTGAAAGTGAATTTGGTTTTTCTATCGACTTTGCCTGTCGGAAGGTCGCAAAAGGGGACCCTGGCAATATTGCCACCGTCACAAACATGAGTCAGTTGTCAAGCATCTGAATGTAAATCATGGGACCATGGGGGACGCTGCAACGGTCCTAAGGGTGAAAAAAATGGTCGTAAGTCCCATTTTTCAGTGCCATTGTAATGTTAAACGGTCACTAAATGAAGTGTCGAGGACTACCTCTATCTAGCAGGTTATAGCAAGAGTCCGTGAGTTAGGTGTAAGGAAATAAAGGATTGGATGCAATTGGATCTCACTTTTTGGTCTGTAAAACTATACAAGTAGTCCTCGACTTACAACCACTTGTTTAGTGACCATTCAAAGTTCCAATGGAACTGAAGAAAAGTGACCGATGATGACCGCTTTTCACACTTATGACTGTCGCGGCATTCCTAGGATCACATGATCAGAATTCAGACGCTTGGCAACTGGCATGCATTTATGACGGTTGCAGTGTCCTGGGGTTGTGTGATCTCCTCTTGGCGACCTTCTGACATGAGAAGTCAATAAGTGCCCATGATTCACTTAACAACCTCTGTTACTAATTTAACAGCTGCAGTGATTTCACTTAAAGAACTGTGGTGAGAATGGCCGTAAAGCGGGGCAAAACTCACTTGACGACTCTCTTGTGCGGCAAGGGGAAATCCTGGGCTCAATTGTAGTCATAAGTTGAGGATGATCTGTATGCGGACATAAGAAGGGACAGGGTTAGGGTTAGGATTATCCCGTAGGTTTTGGTTTCTTTACCCGTTCTTGTGAGGTCTGGTAGCGGAGGTGCAGGGCGGTGGGATCCCAGTCGACAGCCAGGTTTGCGTTCCCCATCAGAGCTCTTTCTTCTGTGCAATCGATTTTACACCCGTAGCAAAACCTACATGGGAGGCAGATGGCAAGATATGGTGAACCGTATCACTTCAGAAGGATTCGGCCCTTGACAAACTCTCTTGCGTGGCAAAGGGAAATTCTGGGCTCAATTGTGGTCATAAGTCGAGGATGATCTGTATGCGGACATAAGGGTAGAAGGTGCAAACTCTGGGTCCCATCAGTCAAGGAATACCGGCTGGTGGGGTCCAAGAGAAGAGCCTTTTCTGCTGTGGCTCCCACTCCTCAGGGCGAGATCTGCCCCCCCCCCCCCCCCCCCCCCCCCCCCCCCCCCCCCCCCCCCCCC